TTTTAAAAAAAAAAAAAAAAAAAAAAAGCTCAAACTCCTCACAGCCCCAAATTCTGACACATTTAGTGAGCTAGGGTAACACTAATCTAGAAGTCTATATGCCTGGTAGTTCCCTGGCCTCAAAGGAATAAATCATTTCATAGCATGCACAGGATTGAACAATGCTAGAATTAGGACTCCTACAGTAAGCAAGTATTGTTTCTGTCTCAAAACCACCCTGCACACACACAAATCAGCTAGCCCTAAAGCTTTACACAGGTCACTGGCAGGCAGGCAGGCAAGAAGAGAGGGATGTCCCCCAGTGAAAGCTCTTTTGCTTCTGCCTCAGAGGCACTAGAAGCCTAGGCCCTGGGTCAGCAGCACCCCCAAGGTTGCTTGGATATGGTTCCAACTGTATTCCTTAAAACTGAACATCAGAATACCACTAAAGGAAGAGGATAGAGAGCACATAGCCTATTTGCAAATAAGAATTACCTTGAAAAAGTCTTCCATTTTATCTGTGTATGAACATTCCAGTCCATAATATAATTGTTTTATATAAAAGTAAAATCATCTCCTGACTCCAAACCATTTGTTAAGTAAAACTGATGTTTTTTCAGGAAGATGCAAGTTTCTGAGCTTGCAATTTTGTATTCCCCTAGTATATCACTGCCTATTTATTTGGGAGTAAAAAGCTTGATGGTAAGGAATTGTGATTTGGAAGTGGGGAAAGTAAAGGATGTCCAACCTCAGGTGTGTCTCTGCTCATGTTATTTAGGAGAGAGCCAGAGTGTGGGAGATGATCTAAAGGACTGTGGGTGGGAACTGCCACAAAAAAAGGGTTCCAGTTGGAGTAAAAAGAGGATATATTTGCTGGGAGGTGGAGCTGAATTCAGTACATTATGATATGGCAAGAATTTTCCCACGCTGCATTTAGGCCAAATTAGGCTAATTGGGGATAGGACCAGCAAAAACCTACACTGAAAATGCCTGTTTGGTAATAAACATTCCAGCTTTTCATGTTGTGACAAGCCCATAAGACCTGCAGAATTCACCCAAATAATTCAGGTTCTATCAGATCCTTCAGTGACTGTTTTAGAAACTTAGGCAATTTGAATTCAGAAATATTGATTTCAACTTTTAATCAGATTTCTTTGGTCCTCTTCTTTTCTCCCCCACCAAGGTCATTTCCTTTCCACCTCCTTCAATCATTTTTTTAAATTTCCACAGCACTGAATTATGAATCTGAAGTCCTGGATAACTTCTGTACTAAAAATATCTATATCTTTAACTCTTTCTCCTACCCCATTTTCAAGTCATCCATCTTAATTCATGGTACCGCATTTTCACAAATGTAAAACTGGACTTCAGAGACTGTCTACATGGGTCAATTCAGCCCTATTTTGCCCTCATTTATTTCATGTTTCAATATGAACAAAGTGGGGTTTTTGTAAGCAGGTAGGGAAAAAACTTTGACTTCCCTTCAAGATTATTCCAGATCCTTCCTAATGAAGTGATACTGTTTGGTTATACTATATCACAGCAGCTGGCTTTCCAGAGTAAGTTCAAAGCAGCCATTGAGGGATTACCTGAAGAACCCTTCTTAATTGCTCCTGGTTGATTAAAGGGGCTCTTTTTCCTTGACCTACCACAATGAGAGAATGAGAAGCACACAGTCAGTAAGCATAAAACTGGTCATTCCTTGGAAAGATATGTGCTGCTGTGAATCTGGGGACATATCCGGTGGAAGTACGTTTGTTGCTGGGCAGCTTTCACAGAAATCAGAAGCTGGTACATACACGCTGTCACATACACACACAAGGGGAGGGGATGATTTTCCACTGGGGATGGCAAGTCTTCATGTGTCCTCTTCTTCACTGGCACCACTACAAAGGAAAAGGAGAACCAGGTCAGTTAAGTCGTCATAAGAAGGGAGGCAGCATACTCTCCTGGTTGATAGCACTGGCTTTGTTGTTAGGATTAACTGCCTGGATTGAAGTCCTGACTACCACAATTGAGCAGTGTGGCCATGGGCAAGTTACTTAGTTTCTCTAAGTTCTGATTTCTTTATCTGGCTACAGGGAGAATGATGATAATAAAACTTAATTTCTTGGGTTATTGGAGGATTATATAAGGATACATGTAAAATACACAGTGCCTGGTATACAGTAAGTGAACAGCTATTTAAAGGAGCAGGTGAGGGTCATAATGTTTTTTTTTTCTTTTAAAAGATGACCGGTAAGGGGATCTTAACCCTTGACTTGGTGTCGTCAGCACCACACTCAACCGGCCATCCCTATGTGGGATCTGAACCTGGGGCCTTGGTGTTATCAGCACCGCACTCTCCCGAGTGAGCCACAGGCCGGCCCTCATAATGTTTTTTTAACTTGACAAAATTACTGGTAAAATCAGCAGTTTGATTTCCCCTAAGCCTTCAACCATCTATTGTTAGGAGAGAAAAACAAGGAAAAGCTATCATCTGTGCTCTCAATGGCTCTTCACATTTGGAATAAAAGCCAAGGTTTCAACTCATGCCACAGGGACAGTCACTGGGTTTTAAATGTCACCTCTTCATAGAAGGTACTCTACTTAAGTAGAACTCCCTGGTTATTCTCTATCACATTCTATAATTTTTAGCATTCTTAAGTTGAGATACATAGTTTAAAGAGTTTATGAACCTACTGGAATTGTATACAGAATTTTGTCTGTGTGCCTTTGTCTGAGAAAAGCCATAATTTTCATCATATTCTCAAAGAGGTCAACAACCTCCCCCAAAATTGAGAATAATCAAATTATAAATAAGTTCTTTAACAGCTGCCAAGTTCTTTACTATAAGGAGAGTGGCTTGAGAAGGTGAGAAGTCCTGACTGATAAAATCTTTTCTCATTACAAGAAACCTGTTCTTGGGCCTGAAAGATACAGCTTATCTCTCAGTTTAAAACATGAGACCTTGGGATTCTGGCATACCATTTATTGATTCATTCACTTGCTAAATATTTATTGACTGTCTACTATGTGTGAGAATGATGCTAGGCACAATAATGAATGAGATGGACACAGTAGTTGCCCTCAAGGGCTTTGCAGACTAGTAAGTGAGACAAAAGGGGTGGGGGAGGGAGAGAGAGGGAGAGAAAACTTTTTTTCCCCTCAGAATACCATCTTCAAAGAAAGCATCTTATTTTCATAATTAATAACCTGTTTTTCACAATAATAAAGAAGAAAAAGAATCTTAACTGAATCTATAGCACAAAGCTTTCTTCACCTTGTGTATGGTCTTTCCTGGAGAGGTACCCAACAATATAATTAGCGTGAAGCATAATGTCCTCTCCTGAAAACTCCTTCTTCACTTCGTATATAAACTAGTCTGTGTTATAAGGCTTTATATTAAACAGTCTATAAAAGTCTTCACTTTATCCAAGTGAAGTAACATAGCTTTTTACATCACTTATTCTCCTCTGAAACATCTACCAGTCACACTTAAGTTTATAACTGGAGTGGGACTCAGAGGTTACTGAAATTCTTTTTTAGTGGGTTTTTTTTTTTTTAATGAACTAAGTGTATTAGGCAGACAGCCTATTCTATAGCAGGTACTTAAAGAGAGAAGCAGCATTATATAATGGCTTTGAAGTCAAAGAGAGAAGCAGCATTATATAATGGCTTTGAAGTCACCAGACTGAACTAGGTTCAAATCCCTGTGAGTTACTAAACCTCTCTGAATCTCAGTTTCCTCATGGCCATATTATCTATCTTACAGGGTTATTATGAAAGCTTTATGTATTTTATGCAACGCAAATGATAAAAAATGTTGGCCCTCTTCTTCAACCCACCTTTTTTCTTATCCTGAATCAAAATCTGCTTCCTCCTAACTTTCATTCAATGTTCCTAGTTCTGGCATCTGAAACATTACAATCCAGAATAAGTGCGTTCCTATCCTCAAATGCCCTCCAAATACCTGGAGAGCAATGGTATGCTGTTTTGCTTGCTTGGAGGGTTTTATAAATGACAACTCCAGATCTGATGAAATATAGATATCAAATAGAAAGGCTGGATTCCATGGCAGGTCTCTAGAACAAAAGTTCATCTCTTGCCAAATGTTGGTGAGAACAAATACTGAGTGAAATTTAGTTAACTGGCCTCGGCTCAGTCATTGACTGATCTAGTTTGAGGATACTGTTATATCTAAAAGTGGTGGTCTTAAAACTGGGATATGTATACCCTTCTGGTACATAATGACTTTTCAGGGAGCATTTGGGCATGGGTAATGAAAGGATGACAGGACCTGAGCTGTCAGATCGCCAGAGAAGTTCCGCTTTATTTGGGGGAGAAGCATACATTTATATAGAGCCGGGTTCCAG